CAAGTGGTGGCTGGCGGTAGACGGACAGCAAGAGAGCAGCTCTGTGGCACGTGGTAGTTGGCGGTAGGTGGATAGCAGGAGAGCAGCTCTGTGGCATGTGGTAGTTGGCGATAGACGGACAGCAGGAGAGCAGCTCTGTGGCACATGGTGGCTGGCAGTAGGTGGACAGCAAGAGAGTAGCTCTGTGGCACGTGGTAGTTGGTGGTAGGTGGACAGCAGGAGAGCAGCTCTGTGGCACACGGTGGTTGGTGGTGGGCGGAGAGGATGCCAAAGCTGCTCAGGGCCCTTGAGCAATACTCTGCTGATGTTTGAGGTGACTGACTTTCTTAGGGCAGCATAACAAAGTGACACAGACTTTATGCTGAAGACACCGAATTTTTTCTTTCACAGTAGTGGAGGCCAAAAGTCCAAAATCAAGGTGTTGGCAGGGTTGGCTCCTTCTGGAGGCTCTGAGGGAGGAGTGTCTGCTCCAGGCCTTTCTCCTGGGTTCTCGTTGCCGGCAGTGCTTTGTGTCCCTCGGCTGTAGATGCATCTCTCCAATCTTCCCCCACGTTCACATGGTACTCTCCCCTTGTGTCTCTGTCTCTTTTCTTCTTATGAGGATACCAATCATATTGGATTGGGGACCATTCTAATCCTGTATGACCTCATTTTAATTTGATTACATATGCAAAGACCTTTTTTCCAAATAAGGTCACATTCACAGGTATCGTGGTTAGGACCCCCACACATCTTTTGGGGGGGGGCACAATTGAACCCATATCCCTTTTTTTTCTCCTTTAGACAACAGCCCAGAGACCAGGGCTAAAGTGAAATTTGTCCAGGACACTTCCAAGTATTGGTACAAACCTGAGATCTCCAGAGAACAGGGTGAGTGCTGGGGGGTTCTGGGGTCCATCCAAGGTCACAACTGGTTGCTGCTCCCCGGGCCTCCCTTGGGCAAGAAATTTAAGTAGACTCCTTTCTCTTTGTAGTAGGTGGTGGTCATAGAGAGGGGGCTGGGATCAAGGTCAGACAGGAAGAGCAGTCGCTGTGGTGATGTGTGGGGGAGCAGAGCAGTGATTGTAAGCACCTCGTTGAAGGATCCTTAAAATGAGCAAAGTCTTGGTTTCTGGGCAAAGTAAAAGGCTGGCCAAGATAGGAGGAAATGTTAGTTCTCCATCTGCATGATATAGGAGATTTTTGTATATTTTACAGAAAAATAAAGTTGGGACTATAGGGGTGGAGATGAGGCTCACCTCAGGCCCCAAGGGAAAGTCTGTGTGGACATAGGACACGGTGTTGGTGACGCGGCCCCCGGGTCAAATCCGGACTGCTGTCTGCTTGGTAACTATAGTGTTATTGAACACAACCACATCCATTCATTTATATCCTGTCTGTCTGCTTTTGTGTGGCAGTGGCAGAGTCGAGCAGTTGCCGTAGAGACTGCATGGCCTGCAAAAGGTCTTTGCATATTTACATCTGGCTATTTACAGAAAAAGTTTGCCAACTCCAGTATAGAAAGATCCTTAAGAGTGTTTGAATTCTCACTTTAAAGAATCTCCTCTCACTTAAGAGAAAATGAGGTTCCAGAGGCCTGATGAGACTTAAGGAAAGCCAGTGCCATCAATTTCTTATTTCCTCTTCTCTCCCATCTCTTCTCAACCCAGCCATCGCTCTGCTGAAGGACCAGGAGCCCGGGGCCTTCATCATCCGTGACAGCCCCTCTTTCCGAGGAGCCTATGGGCTGGCCATGAAGGTGTCTTCTCCCCCTCCGACCATCATGCAGCAGAATAAGAAAGGTAACACTGTCTTCTCTAACTGGGCCTCAGGACTAGGTGATCCATATGGTCTCTTCAAAGCCAGGGGGACCTGGGGGCTGGGCAGGTTTCTAATTCTCATGGGAGCTGGTACCTGCTAAACCCTCTTCAGCAGAGTGAGTCTTGGGCTTGGTGATTGGGGTCAGAGAATAGGGAAGCCAGATTGTTGGGTCTCTGTGATTGCGTTTCCTTGAGGGGGAGGAAAGGAGAGGCAGTCCCTCCATTCCAGGGTTCTCCCGTCAAAGCCCTGCACACTGGAGAAGTCAGAAATCAGTGGTGGGAGGTGGTGGGAGGGCACCATGAGAAGTGACTGGTCCTCATTTCTTCCTTTTCATCCCAGGGGACATGACCCATGAGCTGGTGAGACATTTCCTGATAGAGACCGGCCCCCGAGGAGTCAAGCTCAAGGGCTGCCCCAACGAGCCAAACTTTGGTGAGATTTCCCCCACTTCTGTCTCCCCAGTTGGCTTGCAGAGAGCCTCAGGCCTGCCCCAGCCCCTCGCCCCCCGCCTTGGTTCTGCCCGCCCCCCTTGTCCTAGACACAGCAGAGAAATGGACAGTGGTTTCCCTTCCTCTGTCCTCCAGTCCCTTCACTCTGCCAGATTCCTCTTGATAGATGTCCTACCCCACCGAGACTTGTTATCATTGTAATTTGAATAATAGCTATAACAACAGTTTCCTTTATTGACCACCTACTATGTGAAAGTCACTATCTAGGTCCCTTCTGTTACTTCTGGTCTCGTGACAATCCTGCATGGTAGGTGCCATTGTCCCATCTATAATAATAAAAGTGTAATATGCTAATTAGACCGGATGTCCTTTCGGACGACCTTCCAGATGAAGCTGGGGCTGTGAGGGCCATGGCTGCGAGGGCAGAGCCCCTTGCACGATTTTGTGCATCAGGCCTCTAGTTTTACATATGAGGATATGGAGGTTCATAGAAGTTAGGCTTGTGCAAGAACACAGCTAGTAAGTGACTGAGCTGGGATTTGATCCCACGATTCTCTGAGTCCTCTGCTGCACTGTCCTGGGAGGGGCCCCGGCAGATGGAGGGGCTTGGGAGAGATGTTGGGAGTAACTTTCTCTAAAAGAAAGCTGTTAAGTAACCTATGACTGCTAGGGTGAGCCGTTGGAATGTTCTCCCTTGGGTCTCGCTAACTAAGAGGGAGTGGATTTTCAGTTTCGTTGGTGGGATGTGGGAGGGTAATGAAGAAGGTGATCATGGCAGCGTGGTGGGCTCCCTCGGTGCTCTGGCCCACTTCCCGGAAAACTGCTCTGACATGCCCTCTCCCTCCCCGCAGGATCTCTCTCTGCCCTGGTCTACCAGCACTCCATCATCCCGCTGGCCCTGCCCTGTAAGCTGGTCATTCCAAACCGAGGTAGGAACCTGACACTCCTCCGTCTCCCAGCCCACCCTTGAACTGGCCTCCTTCGTTTCTCGGCCCTGCCAGAACGCCAGAGCTTGGGCCAGGCTTGGAGGACATGGGTCATTTTGCCATCTGGGGAAACTTGAAACCACCTCTTTTTTTTTTATTAAAAAAAAAAAAGAAACATTTATTAAAAAGCTTAACTTCAGGAATGTACATAATTGACTTGCCAGATTGTTCTAAAAAATTCTCTAGAGGCTTAAAGAAATTCAAGTGAATTATCAGAATAAGCCTCATCCCAGGAGACAGTCCTGGGGAGGACCTTGTCCAGAGGGTGAGATGCGTGTTGGTGGGGAGAGAAGGGGAGGCAGATTTAGGTCATGGGGCACCCGGGGTGGGAGGTTGGCCTGAACGGACAGGAGACAGCACTCTGGAGGGACCTCTGGAGGAGAGGTGTCTGGGCTCTGCATGGGAAGGAAAGGGGATGGTCAGATATTCCTGGAGTTCTCTAGTCTGTGCGGCTGACAGGATGTTCCCTGACCGAGGCAACACTGAGCTGATAGGAAAGAGCGAGCCCATTTTTGATTGTGGGATATCTGATTGGACCCTGACAGCCTCAGGACACAGAGGATGAGAATCTGAGTGAGACCCGGGGCCAGCAAAGGAGATTTCAGCTTCTCTCAGGGGTGTCTCATCCTTGGAGGATGGCAGGTGGACCCCAAGCTCTTCAAATTGAAGCTTCTATTATAGCACAGGCTTCTATTCCCAGCGCCCACAGGAGGGGAATGTGGTTGGCCCTGAACTTGAGGTCTGCAAACTGGGAGCCGAGGTGCCTTCTCCCTCTGTCCAATAATAGGACATTCAGAAGTGCCCCTGGGACTCTCTCCTCTCCTGTGGAGCTCCTGAGGTTTTTGCCCACACAGAAAACCTCCAATATTGTTTGATAGTCTCTATGTATCCAATTCGATTCATTGAATTATTAATGATAATTGACCAGCATTATTAGCTTAAAAGTTCAAATGCAACTTAAATAGCATTATTAACCATGACAGTTAGACACTAATTAAATGATATTTCTACAGAATTTACCAAAGTAATCCAGTGATGATCAAAATGATACTGACATTGTATAAACTAGTAGTTCTCCAAGCCTGATCCCCTGGCCAGCAGCCTCAGCACCCCCGGGACCTTGTTTAAAATGCAGCTATTCTCAAGTCCCGCCTAATCAGGTTCTCTGGTTTTAACAAGTCTGCACAGCAAAGTCTGAAAAACACTGGTGTAAATGGTACTTGATGCTTTTTAATATTGAAATTATAATTGTGCTATTTAAGTGTTTAATGAGTGAGGGCATTTATCGATCTACACAGACATCCATACAAAAGAACAACACCACCAACTGCCACTTGAAGTCATGCTTTATGCCCAGCACTGGGCTAACACTGTACATGGAGCATTTAAAAAACCCACCGAAACACTTCTATCACCCTTTCCACTTTATAGATACTTAGCAGGTCCTGGGCTGAGATTCTCAACCCAGCTCTGTTGGAATCTAGAGCTCTCAACCAGTTAGCAGCTATTGACCATTCCAACTGGACACGCACGCACTGGCTGCCAGTGTCTGATATGAAAAGCAGTATCCATTGCACAAAGCATTTGTAGAGCTCACCGTAGGCCCATCCAGACTGGGGAGCCTTTCCAGGTCTAGAATTTTAATTACTGGCTGAATGAAATCTTTGTCTCAGATCCCACAGATGACTCGAAAGATAGCTCGGGCCCTGCCAACTCAACCACCGACCTGCTAAAGCAAGGAGCAGGTGAGTGGCCAGACCCTGCCCAGGCCTTTCCTCCTTTCTGCCCTGTCCCCTCCTGCAGGTGCAGGCTGGACATCACTCCCAGACCCAAGTGTCTCTGGGTGGGCACACCACATTTCTGGGCTCAGGTGCCTTGGCTTGAGATTGGCCTGAAGAGAGGACCTGGGGGTCATTCCCACCCACTCCAGCCCCCATGACGTCTCCTTGGGTGGGTTTCTTCCAGCCTGCAATGTGCTCTTCGTCAACTCTGTGGACATGGAGTCGCTCACTGGGCCACAGGCCATCTCCAAAGCCACTTCCGAGACACTGGCTGCTGACCCCACGCCAGCTGCCACCATCGTTCACTTCAAAGTGTCTGCCCAGGGAATTACACTGACTGACAACCAGAGAAAGTAAGACTCTTCTGCCCACTTCTGTGTTAGGCTCTCCTCCTGTGACCCATCTATCCTTACATTTACCCACCCACTTACCAATTGACTCATGCCTTGTACCCATCTATCTCTAATCCATCCTCTGTCTATCTGGCCATCTGTCCATCCGTCCATCCATCCATCCATCCATCCATCCCCTTGCTTACCCACTCACCAGTTGATCCATCCATCTCTGCATCCATTCATTCCCCATCTATACTTCTCCATTTATTCCTTCACTCATTTATGCCTCCCTCTATCTTCCTATCTATCCACCCATTTTCCATCTTTCTACAAACATGCCTGCATTGGGTATATAGTTGCAAATGCAACTGACAAAAATACCTATACCTGCTTTCTAGAACAGAGCCCTTCCTCTCATGCTTTCTCTAACATGTCCCCCACCCCTATCCTTCCTCCTCCAAGGTACCCCCATTTCTCATCCCTCTATGCCAGTTTCTTTCTCCTTTTCCTAGCCTGTAGCATTTGAGAGATGTTTCTCTGACATATCTATCTGTCTCCATGCATTGCTTATGTCCCCAGTGTGAGCAACCCAGGTTATCTTGGTCATAAGGGAGAGGCTGTGTTGACCTACAGCAGCCACAGATGATGGGAAGGTGGCCTGACCTGTCACTTCAACACTCACTCTTTGTCTATCTGATGTCTGTACCACAGGCTCTTCTTCAGACGACACTACCCTCTCAACACCGTCACCTTCTGTGACCTGGATCCACAGGAGAGAAAGTGAGTCTCATATAGACACCTTCTCCCCCAGCCAGCTCTAGAACACTGAAGTCTCTGTGTGAGCATATGTGTGTGCAGGTGAACATACGTGTGCATGTGTGCATTCTTGGTTCAGCTTGAAGATCTGCCTGTGTCTGTGAGAGTGAAAGTAATTGTGCTGGGCATCTTTTTGAGTTTTTCCCACGACAAATTTGGAGACTCTTCCAGGGACTCAAATACCTACTTCTGCCCCGTCTATCTTGTCCCTGACCCTGAATCTGCTTCTCCTCTCCACAGCGGGGAGAGAGCCCTTGAGAGACAGGCCACAGTTCTCTTTATCTGAATGACCCCCAATCCATAGCGAGGCTCCTCTGCCTTCCTTCAAAAGGTCTGGGCATGCAAGGGGTTGAGCTCCGGGGAGAAGGTGTAGTGGATTATGGCTGTACCATTTTTCTCTCCACAGGTGGATGAAGACGGAGGGAGGTGCCCCTGCTAAGTAAGTGTGACTTCTCCCCCATCCTGGCTGGCTGGTCTCTTTGGGGGTGGAGAGAGCAGGGGCAGGTTGAGAATCCAGGATTAGTTGGAGGCAAAGGGCAGTGAGGGTCACTCAGCTTTGGACCAGGCAGCCAGGTCTTTTGCCTTCTGCCTCCAGTCTTATCACCTTCCCTCTCCCAGGACTAGGCCAGTAGGGATCTGAGGAATTGGAAAGGAAGCCAAGAGTTTAATGAGGCGATGACAGTAGGGCAGGGTTGTTTAAGTGATCATTTCTTCCCCAATCCTGGCCTCCTTAATTCCCATTCTACTCTTTGGGTGGACCTCTGTTTGACTGGGCTAGACTTCATCAGAACAGGGGAGCCCAGAAGGTCTGAATTCTGGGATAACCCTGGGACTTTTTGGTTGATGCCGCCATCCATTCAGCATTTCCTACGTGCTTCAGAGGAACTTAGCCCTGGGAGGATTCAGACTGACCAAAAGGCTGACACTGACTCCAAGAGGCCCGCCATTGGCACAGTGGATAGGACACATGTATAAACGTTAACATGCTGTAGTGGTTTTCAAACTGTGTTCCACGGAACCCTACAATCCTCAGGTTGTAACTGAGCTCTTAAGAGGGGAGGAAAAACCTTGTTAGAATGTGCAGTTATGTATCAGTATGAGTCAGGGTTTTCTCTATATCACAAAACCCAGGCGAAGTGTGGGAATAACCTGGCTCCTGAAGCTGACACAGATTGCCATTGTGGTCTGTAATTCCACACTTTACTCTGCTGGGCTCATGCAAACATGGGCTCACGTTTCTACTGATTGAGTTTGTAATGGTGTGCTGTTGGACTGATACATTTATAGCCATAAACACTGCTGTCACTTTTCTATATTTGGACTTCATATAAGATTGTTTTAGAAAAAGAAAAGTTTCTCTGTTAAAAAATTAAAACCACTACTGTATGCAATATGCCAACAGGGTGCAGCTCATCGTGTCTGCGGATGTCACCGAGGAAAGTGCATGGGATAGATTCTAGGCAGGGGGAGATTCAGGGTGGTTTGGAGGAAGAATTTACATTAAACAAAATGGGTCTTAAATGACAGGCACAATTGGAATAGGTAGTAATGGATGTGGGGGTGGGACAGAGACCATTTCGAGGGGACAGGGAGGCATGGCCACCAGAGTGCAAGCTTCCTGAGGGCAGGGTTGTCTGTTGCATGGGAAGGGCTGGTGAATATTTGTCTAATGAAGAAATGGGAGGACGGATGAGGCAGTAGGAGGAGAGTGAGGAGGAGTCTCAGTGAGGCCACCTCGGTCAAGAAAGAATGGAACTGACCTGCAGTTAGCATGATCAGCAGCGGGGCTGTGTGGGATGAAGGGGACCTCAGTGTGCCCCAGGTCACAGGAAGAATTAGCAGCCCAGTGGAAGGAGGACCCAGGGGTCCAGCCATCTCAAAGCTTGCCCCACACTTGCCTCAGCCTTCTCCTGGGCTCACAGGGGTCATTCAGGTCTCCATGTCCCTGCCACCAACCAGGAAGCCAGAGCTTTGTATTTGAGGAAGCTCCTGCTCACTGACCACTGGGCTCTGTGTGGGGAGACGGGTCAGGGACAGGAGTGGGCTGGTCTCAGGCCTGTAATCATTCTCCTCATTCAGGAACTGGTTTTGCACTGAGCTTTCTGCTGGGCTGGCCTTGCTGGCCAGCCACTGGCTCAGGGAGCCGACTGGGGATGGGACTAGGGGCAGTGGTCGGCAAACTACGGCTCGCGCGCGACATGCAGCTCTTTGGCCCCTTGAGTGTGGCTCGCAAACTGCGGCTCGCGAGCCACATTCAGCTCTTTGGCCCCTTGAGTGTGGCTCTTCCACAAAATACCATGTGCGGGCGCACAGGTACAGTGTGATTGAAACTTCGTGGCCCATGCGTAGAAGTCGGTATTTTGTGGAAGAGCCACACTCAAGGGGCCAAAAAGCCGCATGTGGCTGGCGAGCTGCAGTTTGCTGACCACTGGACTAGGGTGAGGCACACGGATGCCTGAGGCCCTAAAGTAAGGAAGGTCTAACTCTCAGGTCCTAAGTGCTCCTCCATGCCCTTGGGGTTGAGGTTTCTTGCCTGGACCCACTTCCCTAAGCAGAGAAAGGAATTGGCTACTGTTGAGCTGGCCCTGGGAGCCTTGGAGCTGACGTAAACATCAAGGGAGGGAGGCAGGTGGTGTTTAGGCTATGAGGTTGGCAGACTCTCCACCATGGCAGAACCTGGCCACCAGGGTTGGTGTGCCTTCATGCCCACAGCTCAGAGCCTCTCCCCCTGGTTCACTGAGTGCCCTCCACTGCACCAAGGAGCCCAGCAAGCCTGGAAAGGGGATTCAGGGGTTGGTCGTGGCCCCAGGCTTTTCCACTACTTAGACCATTGCCCCAGACCTCTGGCTCAGTGATTCCCAGGCCCTGAAACAGCTGTAGGAAGCCCAGGGTGTGTACACACATGCATGTGCACGGCTGCAAGCCCGACCTAACTTTTCTAATTTTGGCTGTTGTGGTCCAGTCCCAGGGAGAGGGGTTTCCATCGGAATCCCCAGCTGTCCCGATTGCCCCATCTCACTCTAATTAGCAACATGCTGGCTAGGAGGGGACCTGAGCTCACATTCTGTTCTCTGCTCTCATATTTTTAACTCTGTTTTGCAGAGAGAATGCCAGCTCACTCCAGTCTCGGTGCAGGGAGTGGGGTTGGGGGAACAGGTGTGGGGTCTCTCTCCTCCTCCCATTCTCCGGAGCCCAAGAGAAATGCGTGGGGGATGGGGGGGGAGGGTCGTGACCCTTGTCCTTTTGTCTCCCTGACCGTCTCCAGGTGTCTGAGGAGGCCCATCGCTTTGAGGGGCAGGCGACATTTTATTCATTTGCGTTTGTGTGGTGTGTAAGAACAGTTGGGTAGGGGCGGGGCTGAGATGGACTGAGAGAAGCTCAGCTAGGAATGTCCCCATTTTATTTTTGGTCTCGTATCCACCTCTCTGTCCAGTCTTGTCACTTGCCTGCAGCTCCTCCCTCCTCCTCCTCCTCCACCCCACCGCAAAAGGGGAATTTCTGTGCCTCCCCTGAAACCACTGCCATTGTCATTTCTTGTCACTTGACTGTCTTGTCAGTGGAAGAGAGAGAGGGTTCTCTTTTGGTCTCCCCCACCCCGATCCCTGTGCTCAGAAGATGTGGACAGATGCGGGGAGAGGTCAGCCTGAAGACAAGCTTGCTCACTTGGCACCTCTCCAAGGCTTGGCCCCTCCTGCCCTCCCCACACACCTGTCACCCCTCTCCTGCCCCTGCAGGCTCTTCGGCTTTGTGGCCCGGAAGCAGGGCAGCACCACGGACAACGCCTGCCACCTCTTCGCTGAGCTCGATCCCAACCAGCCTGCCTCCGCCATTGTCAACTTCGTCTCCAAGGTCATGCTGAGTGCCAGCCAGAAGAGATGAACTCACCCCATGCCCCGGGCCAGGGCAGTGGGGATGGGCCATGTGGGGAGGGGACCCATGAATCCTGACCATCTCTGAATCCAGAAGGAGGACTTTGGGCCAATTTTGGAGAAGGAGAGAAGAAAGTGTGACATGGGGAGAGGGAAGTGAATTGCGGAGGGGCGGGGGAGAGAGGGAGAGAAAGAAAGAAAAGGATGGAGGAGGATAACCCGGATTCCCTTGGGTAGATGGCTACTGCGCAACCCCCAAAGTCTCCAAAACGAAGCAGGTCCACCTAACTCCCTCTTACCCTCACAGGAGGCAGAGCTGGCCTCCTTGGGGACCCATATTTTGGGGGGAAATGGGAAAGTGTCTCCATAGCCCAACTGCTTTGCAAGGAGAAATCAAGTCAAGAGAATCTTTTTCTGACCCCCACTAGGGTACATTGTCAAACCAAAAGGAGCCAGCATGGGACATCACGTGGCAGAACTTTTGCTTTGAAAGTATCTCAGACCCGAGGTACCTAAGGCCTCTCTGCTCTGCCTCTGATGTACAGTTTGCGTGGGAATGTATGTGGGGTTGTGTATATATATCTGCTCCCACATCCTCACACTCAGATTTATATTCGACTCGCGGCTAGAATTGTAAACAGGTGTACTTGTCCATGTTCCACATTTGCACACATGTGCATACTGTCTAGAGGTCAGAGTTGGGGTGACCCAGCATCAGGGAGGGGACGCCAGCCTTCTTCCCCAGGAGCACCCAGGAATATGGGTAACAGGCTCTGACTTGGTCCCCCCGGCACCTGCGCTCTAGTGGCCCCACGTGCCTCCAGCGCCTTCTCCTTGGCAAAGACCCGGGCAGGAGTGGTGGGGCCATTGGTTGGAGGAGATGGAGAGGTGCATTTCCATAGCTTCGGGGAAGAGACCCATCAGCCACAGTGGCTTTGACCTCCAGGCATCTTCCCCGAGTTGTGTGGCAAGGTGGGCAGGCCACTCCCCCCAGCTCTCAGCCCTCAGCCCATTCTTGGCTGCCAAGACCACACCAGCCTTATCTCAGACCGGCTTATCTGCATGATGTCTTCTTGGGTGCTGGGGATCGAGCCTTCTGATCTGCCCAGCTCTGTTCTGTCCTGCAGGTCCCCCTGTTGGGCTCATCCTAGGGAACCTGCTTCCAAAAGCCTTGCTCAGCAAGGGCCAGGGGATGCCTGGGGTCCTGTCCTCCCCTCTGCCAGGGTTTGGGGCCTGACTTCTGCTGGGCTGTCCAAGTGACTCGGCAGTGCTCTGGGCTGCTGTCTATATACCACATGGCCTATGTACAATACCAAAGCCTTGCTGTTCCCACTTCTGCCTTGGTTTCCCCAGCAGAAACAAGCTGCACGGGAGCAGAGGGCCTAGAATCCGCCTGGGCAATTGGGAACCCCCTGACCTCCACCCAAGTACCCTCAGCTGGAATGGAAAAGTCACCAGGACTCCATTCTCGAGGGGCTTCTTAAGCCTCTGGGGGTCCCTTGGAGAGAGGCATTGTACTGATATATAAATATATATAATATATATGTGAGACATACTGACAGAATCTGTAAGCTAATAAAATATAAGAAAAGGTTAAAAAAAGAATAGGTAAAATTGACAAGAGGTATTTATTGTTTTCCCATGTTGCTTTATTGCCTCCCTGGGCAAAAACCAATTCCCATCCCTCTTTCTATATATAAGGGAAGCCTGAAATGTAGGGGCCTTTATCCTTGGAGCAATCAGGGGTCTCCTTGCCCTGGCCTTGGCCTTCCCTAGACGTTGTCGGGGGCTCAGCAGGGAGGGGTGCATGTGTTCCATCTCCTTTGGCCCCCTCTTTTCTGGCAAGCCTAGGCCTTGGCCATCAGGCCCCGAGAGGAGCCCCCTCACCAGGGCTGGAGCGGGTGTGTGAGCCAGTGGGGGACATGGGTGAGTGTGGTGGGCATGGGGAGTGTGTGCGTCTTTTGTATTTTTTCTCCTCCAAGAAGCTGTATCTGTGTGGACATACTGTTTCAGGGAGTTAGAAAGGAGAGTGTCTAATGAAGATGGGGAGCAGCCCCCCGCTTCCCAAAGATTGAAACCTTGTGCTTGGTGACTAAGGTTCTTCCAAAGTGCTCTTCCTTCTGAGGCATTCAAGCCAGATCCTGGGGTTCCCTCTCCCCCGGCCCCACCCCCCCCCGCCCCCCA